GTTACTCGATTTCTTCTTTTTTTTTTCTTAAGATTACACTAACTAAACAGCAACAACAAAAACAATAGCAGAAAAAAAAAAGAAGAAGCAATTGCTAATGCTGTATAAAAAGCAGAAAAAAGAGCAGAAAAAAGAGCAAAAAAAAAAGAATTTTTTTTTTTTCAAAGCGATTTAAAAGTGCTTAAAAGTGTAAAAAAACAACAGTTATTTTGTTTGTGCCTTTATATTCAGTTTTTTTTAATGATGGGCTCTTCCAATATCAACAGCAAAAAAAAAAATTTTTTTTGTTTTTATTGAAGAAAACAAGTAGAAATCAATCAACTAACTAAACTAAACTGAGTAATAATAATAATAACTCTGAAAATAATAAATAAGAAGTTAAAAAGCTGAAGTAAAATGGAATAAATTTTGTAGTGTTTTCTTTTTTTTCCTTTGTCTTCTATTTAAACATAAAAAAAAAGTTGGGTTTTTCTTATTCTTTGATAATAATTTTGACCAAAAAAAAGGTAAGAAAAATAAAAAAAAAGGTGGTCTTTTTTTACAACCAATTGCTTATATAAATAACTGAACAATTGAACAATCAAACGAAAAAGGCATTAACTTTATCCACCACTTTTGCTGAGGTAAAACTGAAATGACACACACAAACTAATAATCAGATATTTTCTGTTCAATTAAACAGTAATATAGTTTTCTTTTTTTGTTACAAATACAAAAATTTTTTTTGAAAAACGGTGTTTAGAAGAAAAAAAAAAAAACAAAATAATTCAATAGTTTTTTTTTGCTAAACTAAACAAATATTAAAACGATAAATACAGCTGCTATTATCATATTTGGAAATTTTCACATCTAATTTACTTTTAGACTCAACTTTTCCATATTTGAAGAATACGGTTCAAATGTTCAGATTATAAAAGGATAAACAACGGGGGGGAAGCAAAAAAGAAAATGGTTTAGCCCTTTATCAAAAAAGTTTAGCAAAATCCAACAAGCAGCTTTTTCTGTGTTATTCTGTGTGTATTTTGTTTGTAGGATATTCAATAATCTGTCGATTTCGCATATTTGCCGCAAATAACCAAATAGAAGAAAAATAATATATACTGCTGTTATAGATAAAAAAATTTTTTTTTCCATGTTTCTTTTCTGTCGTTTACTACTATTTTGTTGATAATTGCAAATCATTTGTGTTTGTCTTCTTTTGTTTTCTGTTTCTTTATAGT